TTTTCGAGTTTTTGCTAGACTAACGGACAGCAGTTGATTATTATTATATATATATATATATATATATATATATATATATAAAGTAATTTCATTTCGTGAAAAGTATCCAAAATTTTACTTTTTTTTAAAGCCGAATCGGGGCGTAAGGCCGAGTACAGGATGCGGTAATAGCTGTCGCCTTGTTCAATGTGCGCAATCTTAAAGGTCAAATTGACGAAGTCCGAACCTTCCTCACTGATCATCAGATTGATATATTGCTAGTGCAAGAGACTTTTCTTAAGCCTAGCATTAGAGACCTTAAAATAGCAAATTATAGACTAATCAGAAACGATCGTGTAGGGGCACAGTTAGGAGGGACTCTTATATATTATAAGTCGTCCCTACACGTAGTTCCCATTGACACGCCTCAATTAACTGACTTAGAGGCCTCCGTTTGCAGAGTAGCCATGACCGGTCATCAACCGATCACGGTAGCCTCTGTATATCTCTCACTTAAGAAAAAGGTTATAAAGAGCGATTTCGAAGCATTGTTTAACTCGGTCATATTAGCTGGCGACTTAAATAGTAAACATCAAGTCTGGACTAATAATAATAATGTTATTAACAATACTAAAGGTAATGACTTATTAGCTCTTAGTGATAGCCTAAAATTTGACATAATAGCTCCTCCGGAGGACACTAGATAATCCACGAATCAGTCTCATAGCTCGACCAAAATCGACTTAGCACTCTTCAGGAACGTAACCTTAACGTTATACTCTATAGAATTGGTGCATGAGTTAACATAGGACCACCATCCGGTCCTAATAATCTCCTAAAAAATAATCCAAATAAGTGACTTTAGGACAATCCAGCAGTGATGTTCTTCCAACCAAAACTGAAACGGACTGGCATAGGTTCGAGGCTAACCTCGAAACTGTGAACTCAGCATATTTAGATCAAGTGCCAGACGTTATTCACACTAAAGAGTTGGCCATAGAAGCCATCTCTCATATCACCTTTCATATAAAGATGGTTGTCGGGGAGTCTTCGAGGCGGCTCAAGGCGTCGACTAATCGTCACTTTGAGCTCCCCGGGAATGTACGGCGATTACTGAGAGAGAAAAATGCTCCGGTAAGGGGCCTATGACCGTTACAGAACCGTCAATAATAGGTCCAATTTGCGCCGCCTCTGTAGTGAGGTCAAGGAGAGCATGGCCCAGCTGAGGGAGACACGATGGGACAATCTGATGGAGGATATCTCGCCCTCACATACCGCCTTCTGGAAGCTAGCGAGAGCTTTTATATCAAAAAATGTTGCTTCGATGCCCCCATTAGTTAGATCTGATGGTCAGCTAGCTTTCTGTGGCTCGAAGAAGGCCGAATGCATGGCGCATAGCACCTAGAGCCAATGCTCTCCAAGCACCCTGCCAATCTACTTCGTCCACCTGAATAAGGTGAACGAGGAAGCGGCTAATCTGTCCGCCACATCATCAACGGATGGTCCCTCCCGTTACTTTTGATGAGGTGAAAACCATCATCAAAAATCTCAAGCCTCATAAAGCGCCAGGCGCTGATGGCATTAATAATAAGGTATTTAAAGCCCTTCCTACTAAGTTGATTTGCCTCCTAGTGGCTACTTTCAATGTCTTAATGTCCACCTGCACTTTCCCAGAAGTGTGGAAAGAAGAAGAAGTTATCAGTATTCCCAAATCGAACAAACCCAGAAATAGGGTATCTAGTTATAGACCCATCAGCCTCCACAGAGCTATGGGGAAAATCTATGAGCGTATCATCCTCAGCCGTCTGAAGGATGTAGTGCTAGATAAAAATCTAATTCCAAACGAGCAGTTTGGCTTTCGAGTCAAACAAGCGCACTGTTTATACAGGAGCACTGTTCTTCAATGTGGCCAAGGCCTTCGACAAAGTCTGGACTAGTCTTCAAACTTATCCATACAGGTGTGCCTATACGACTTGTCAAAATCATTCAAGACTTCCTTGCTAATAGATCCTTCCGTTTTCGCGTTAAGGGTACTTTCTCCTCGTCCAGACCCATCAGAGCAGGAGTTCCCCAGGGCTCTGTGCTCTTACCGACCCTATACTCACTCTACGTAAGTGATATCCCTTAGTTACCAGGTACTCATCTTGCATTTTACGCAGATGATACAACCATCTACTCCTCTGATATTCACCCTATTAGAATCTGCAGTCGGCTCCAAGCTGTAGAAATAGTAACAAGTCGTAAGTACAAACTAGGCCACATTATTCGTATCAGCACCTGTACTATGCATAACCACCAATTACGTTAACCATGTAATTTTAGTAACATATTTCACTTTTTAAATCTTTGTTAATTCAGCAACCGTCCGTCGTGATGTCTCTCTCTAAGTTCGCATGTCGCAAGGCGTAGACGCGTGATATACGCGGGTGAAACCGCGGGGCACAGCTAGTAATAAATTAATGCTAAAGATTAAACCTCTACGATAGCCCAATCCCGTGGGTCCGAGAGGTGAAATACCTGAGGGTAATTTTAGATTGTGCAATGAACTTCTCTCAGCACATTAAAACACTTAGGAACAAGGAAAAATTCGTAGTCTATCGTCTTTTTGCCTTTACCAATAAAAGCTGTCCCTGAGACAAACTGCATCTCTATAAAACCTGCGTACGTCCTATTATGACATATGCGGGTGTGTCCTGTGCCCACGTCTCTATAAAGAGTCTGCAACAACTTCAAGTTGTTCAGAATAAATTCCTGCGTCAAATCACAGAAGCTCCTTACTATGTGAGGAACGTGGATTTCCACGGCGACCTCGACATGCCCTCCATCCATTTGTATCTTAAGGAATTATCCTTAAGATATTTCGATTCGATAAAAGAGCACAAAAATCCATTGGTGAATGAAGCGGGCGCGTACTCCCCAATGAGACACTTCCAAAAATAGGTCAATCCCGCCTCCCGCCCCCTCCACAGGAGAGGAAACCCGTTTGGTTAACACTAATACACACACATACACACACACACACACACACACACACACACACACACACACTCACTAATACACAAACACTAGGGCACACTGCGTTCGCCGGCGAACGCGAGGTCACAGACACACGCCGTACACGAGGTTCAACACACTATAATTTTATACTATAATTTTTGCGACCCGTAAACGAAATTGCGATAGTGATTCAAGCCGAGGCTCTTACCTCCTTCTGAGGGGCCTTGAATCGCATCAATCCCCCCCCCCCCCCCACACCTAGCTTGAGGAGCTTCACTCATATCACGTATAGCAGGGTTTGGGGTGCCTCGAGAATGCAGTCGACGAAGCGGTGCTTCGCGCGCCGCCGGCAGAATCATTGCACTCAATAGCTCGGAGGTGCTCGCTTATAAGCCGAATTCGATGAAGCTGTCAAGGCCGCCGGGCCAAGAGCGTACACTTTCAGAAAAAAAAGTTTCCAGCCATCTACTTTCTTATGGTCGGTTTACATTATCTTAGTGTAGTAAAACACTAGAAAATTTTAAACGATAGCTTTTAGTGACAGCTTTAATTTATTTCACGTACGATAATCAAAAAGCATCGTCTTTTATTTTTATATTTTGCATTTACATTATGGTGCTACCAATGTTCTTTCCGAACACACTCCCATCGCCAACCATGAACAAGAAGCGAGAAGAGCTAGAAACTAGATAAAAGTTGGCAAGCAGCGAGAAGCGAGTGTGTAGTTGCGATAGTTTTGTCGCTTGGCTATAAACGAGTGCACTCAGTTCTGCACTGTAGAGAAAAAGGACCTGTGGTCTCTCGGCGTGACTTCTAACCGCCAAGCGAGCATCGCTGAGCGAGTTTTATCTCTGATAGCTCCCGTCGCTGCGATAAACTAGTGGAAAGAGAGTTCTCGCTGGCAGTGTGAACAGCCAGCTATCAACTATTAATATATGTATCTCTTTTATTGACACGGGGTCTATATCTATTGTTTATTTCTTGAGCGAGAAAATAGTCGATAGCTAATCGCTTCCTAGTCGGCAGTGGGACAAGTGCCTTAGGAAAGAACATTGGTGGCACTATAATGCCAATGCTCTATATATCAAGTGATAAAATTAAAAATTTTGTACAACCGACTTCAATATAAGTAAGTAATTAAGGATAACTCAAAAACGACAGGTCAGACCTTGATCAAATTTAGCTTTCAAATAAAAAAAACATGAAAATCGGTTCACCTAGAAAAAAGTTATGAGGTATGAGGCACATAAAAAAAATTAAGTCGAATTGAGTACCACACCTTTTTGAAGTCGGTTAAAAATAAAAGGCAATTCTTTTTGATTATCGTACGTAAAATAAACTAAAGCTGTCACTAAAAGCTATCGTTTAAAATTTTCTACTAAAATAAAAAATACTGCTCTCCTAAATCACCTAAGATAGTGTAAACAGGTCATAAGTGACAATACCTTTCGGCTCTCGTGACTCAAGGAACTTTGCCTTAACGACCAAACAGAATTTTTTTTTACCAATTTAGTCCACTCTTCTTCACCAGCTTATCAAAATCCATGCTGAATATAATTCCCATATATATCCTCTTAAAGGTAATATTTGTCATAGTTTCCATGCTTGGCAGACGGTTTATCATTTATTTATTTTATAGTTGCTATTAAAAAGATGTTTCATTCGTTCCTATCACTATTTTTTATATATACCGTAATAAACCATTGAGAACCATAATAAAATAACTTAAGCCCCATAAACTGCTCTCTTTTTAAAGTTGACCACAGAAGTGCATCTTTTTACGAGTATGTAAAAATCAATTAGTGCGTGCGTTAGTCTCGCAAAATCTCGAAAATGGCTGGATCAATTTTGATAAACTGTTTTGTCTGAATTTGACTGGGTCCTTGTATGGCTTAAATTCAATTGGACCCGATAGGCGGCGCAGTTGTCGAGATCCAGAAATCACTCGTGCGAAGCCGGGGCGGATCACTATTTTTTTTTTTATAATCGGCATTAAATGTGTTAAACAATATGGTACAAGGTTGCTATAACATGCTTTTTATTAACAGCACGACATTAAGATGTGAATCACACAAAATGTTATAGAACTATGCTTGATGACTGCTCGTAGGCTAGTTAGGGTGAGTTCACACCGAGACGCGACGCGACGATGCTTAAAGAGGCCAGTGGTTCCACACCGCGCAGCGCGCCGCCGTAAGACACATCGCGACGTCGTGAGGCGCAATCTTGAAGTCGCTGGCAGCGCACTGCTCTTGCACGCTGCGCCCACCGACGAAGCACCGCTGCGTTGTGATGCGCCGCGCAACGCCGCGAGGCATGTCGAGACGGCGCGACGTCGCGGGGCATTTTAGAATAATCTCAATAAAATGTGTATCTTTTGTTGTTTGCTGAGGGAGACCAACTTGGAGTGCCACAGTGCTCGGTGCTGGGGCCGCTACAGTGGAACTTCGACTATGATGCGGTTCTGCGAATCGATCTTCTCCCTGGCATAGATATCGTCCGCTATGCTGACAACACATTGTTGATCGCCAGCGGGATCACTTTCGAGACGGTTAAAAAGCTCACTAAACTCGGGGCAGAAGTCGTCGTCGCCATAATCCACGAGTTGGGATTAGAAATACCTCACAAGACCGAAGTCCTATGATTTCATAAATTACTATGGGTCAGGGAACCACCCGACTAGTGTGTCCGTGTGGGTGGGTCTGGAGTCAGAATGAAGTACCTAGGCCTTTACTTGGACATAGCTGGGGCTTCGAAGAACATTTCGAGCGCCCCCGGATAGAAAGGATACCAGGTGTTATGTATAGACTGCCGCCCAATCTGAGGGGACTGACGGAGGAAGTACGTCGCCTCTATGCGGGAGTTATACTCGTACTATCCGTAGCTTTGTATGTAGCGCCTGTATGGGCAAAAAGGTTGGTCATCTTGCCATCTCAATAAAAGGTAGTAAATAAAGTTATTTATTTTGTTTCACTATCTTAAAAAGTGCGCGCCGCGTCTCGTCGCGTCACGTCTCTGTGTCAGCTGACCCTTAGCGGCGCCGACAGAATAATAGCGCTGTATAGCATGGTATTGCTGAGGTACATATAATGTACATATAAAAGTCCGTGGAATTTTTGTCGCTACAATCCAATAAATTATTATATTTATTTCTCGTATTATTTTCTTTCAAAAATATTTCAGTGTTTCGATGTCTAATATTTTTCTGTTAATATTACTCGTCGATAAGTCGAACAGGCAAACAGTTAAAAAAACAGGTAAAGTAAAAAAATCAAGGAACTTTATTCTATATTTTTAAAAGCTAATATAATTGACGGTTGTGTAATTAGGCAAATAATACGTACTTGGAAAAAAAATTATTGTTTTTCTGACCAATTCCAAGTTAAAAAATTAATGACTTATCTTTATTTTTATACTATAGCAATACAAGCGCTTCCAGTTTATTCAGATTTATCAGGCTTTAGTCCACCTTTTGGCAAAGGAGGTGGAGGTACATTAGCAATCTCAGGGTCTTTGGGAGAATAGTTTAAGACGTTAAGATCGCTAGGTTCAGGGGGTGGTGTAGAAGTTGGTTGATTAACAACTGTTGGAGCGGGGGTAACCTCCTCTTTAGTAGATACTCGAGATTCGTATTGTCCTAAAACATTTGTCAAAGGATGGTACAATGGTGGCACCCCGGCATAAGGATTAAAGCTGAATGGGTCAAAAGGATCGTAAAATCTGAGTGTTGGGTAAGCGTAAGTGAAATGTCCAAGGTTTGGAATGGTGTTGTAAGTACTGGTGAGTGGTATTACATGAGGTGGGAGTCCAAACTCGTTCAGGGGTATAGGTGATTCTGTTTTTGGTGGTGGGGGAGGTGTTTCAGGAGATTTGCGTTCAGTCTGGGGTTGCACTGTGCTTGGTGCAGGAGTTTGTTCTGGTTGTCCTGTAGTTTGTACAACTTGGATCGCTGGTGCTTCAGATGATGGTGCAGACGGCGGGTCGGGTGTTGCTTGCGGTACTTTAGGTAGGAAAGCTGGCGCGGGAATGAATCCCTGAAAATTAAAAATAAGAATATGTATTATCGATTCGTTTTGTGCGAATGAAGTGAAGTTACAGCCTACATACGTCTCACTCCTGCGGACGTGCCTCCTTTAATTTCTGAGAGGGTTTTAGAGCTAGGAAGTGTCCACCGCATGGCCCGAAAGCATGCCGATGGACTCAATATATCTTAGGAATACTTTTTCAAATTTCTCAGACACGCAGGTTACCTTACTATGTTTTCCTTCACCACCGAGCATAATATGGTAAATTAGGTGGAGATCGAACGCGGGTTGCTTGCCTAGTGTGAAATATTTTACGGAACATAAGCGAATATTTTACGTAAAACTGTGATTTAAACATAAATGTTGCCATATCGTTTTCCAAATCGACTGGCATTTCTCATATAACGGATTAAACTCTAGTATTATATTGTAAAAATCCCGTATTATACTATACTATATTGAAGCGTTGTTCCTTGCAATACTATACACGGTTACTGGGAACTCGACAATTTCCTGGCAGAGCGATTTTAAAGATTTTTCAATAATCATCCAGAATTTCGTATTAAATTCTAAATAAAAATAAAACCTTTTTTTTTTGTATGCTTTTTTAAGTTTATTTATTTTATTGAAGCTTCAACCAAGTAAAAAAGTACAAAAAGCATTCACAATAAAAAATTATGAGTTTTAATAAATTATTATTTTTCTTTTTTTTTTTCAAAAAATTACTATGACATGAGGCATACAAATATTTTAAAAAACATTTCCATTTAATCAGCTATCCAAAAAGTAATCATATCCCGGTGAAGTCAATGAATAATAATAATAATAAAAGGGTCTTTCACTTAAGGCTTTAAGAAGCCTGAATGACCTTGACAAAACGCTGACCGCAGAGATTTTATCCAACATCAACTCCGTCTAGCGACTACGTTCAGTATTACTTAGAAAAGTGCAAAGATTAATAGACTACAGAGTTGACAAATATATAAGTGATATAGCCTTTTATTATATTTGTTGAATAGCATAGACATTCCTCTATCTACGTTGAATAGTATTTGTGTTATTAGTAGCTCTTGGGCTAAGCGTTCGCTGTAAATTTAATCCGAGTTCGATCGAAATTGTAAATTGCAATTTTAAGTTGTGCTGATTTAGCACGTGCTCGGCGGTGAAGGAAAACATTGTGAGGAAACCTGCATGTTTGAGATATAAGAAAAAAAATTGGAGACATGCTTTGAGCCAGCGCGGGAGACATTTCCTTGTCCTAAAACTAAGAAATAAGAGGACTACTTTGCCCAGCAGTGGGACTTATATAGGCTGTTACTTTTACTTTTGTATCGTATACATATGCAGTATTCGTATTCGTTTCACATACAGAAGGGAACGTAATGCTGAGAAAATTAGATAAAATGTTCTAGTGATTATCAGTCACTTCATACGCCACATTTTCTATAGAGCTTAGAATGTTTCAGATATGTTAAATAAAAAAATAAAAATAAAACTAACTTTTGATCATTATACTGAAAATATTATGAATTTTGTGATATCGTGTTCTAAAAACCATCACCTGCAATACGCCTAATAGTAAGTATTGTTTTTTTATTTTGTTTCGATAACGATGTGATATCATAAAACTATTCAGCCTCATAATATGGACATTAGGGATTTTATGCGTAAATGCTGGAAGATATAATATTATATATACGTTCCGTGTGTTAAAATCTGAGAAAACCTTTATATACATACTCCCATCACATGTAATACATTTTTATGTTTGGTTAGAGAAATAATATTGCTACTTGCAAACTTTCACAGGGTAATTTTTTATTATTCTTAGCCAGCGTTTGTCAACAATCCAACCTGATGGTGAGTGGTTATGTAGCCTAATATGGTGAAGCCCACTGATTTAACAAAAGCCTATTCACTCTTTCCTAGTCGTAGTAGGTAAGTATTATTTACGACCTATTTGTGTGTGTGTGTGTGTAAGTGTAGCACTTAAGGTGCTTCATTTTTATTTTATTTACATTGCTTGATTTTATTTTATAATAGTGTATACAGATTTCCCTCCCCAATAATGTTCTATTAAAGTCATACTCATAAAAACAGCGATCCATTGTAATAAATAATTGTAAAATTCGGTATCACCTAATTATTAAAAATATGCAAAAATAAAATTACATAGGTATTAAAAACTATCGAAATCTAAGTAACGAGAGCATGTTGGTCGTCCCACATCTAAATTATATAAAAATGTATTTTTAATTTTACTAATCAACGTCGCCGCGAAAATTTCTTCTTCTTTGGGCACTTACAAATTAATTTATTTAGTAAACAATATTTACAGTTACCAATGTACAGGTATTAACTAAATTAAGTATTTCTTTTCATTAAAATATTTACAAATGAATATAAATTCTTAAAAAACTAAAATATATTTAAACGAAGTCGCTCCAACACCGGTGCGCCGTTCGACCTCTACGACGTCATAAAAGATAAAACGGAGTAAACGGACTGACAAGTACTCTGTGGTACTGACTGTGACAGAGCTCGCGAGGGATTACACTTACAGGGCGACGTAGCAGGCACGCTCGCAAGAATATATTCAATTTTGGAGATAAATTATATTTTCTCGAATAAAACGGGAAATAAAAATAAAGCTCGCAATTAAAAATATTAATATTTTTAGGACCTTTTTTTAATATAAAAACTATTGAAATATGTTGTGTTTTTTTTTTAAATCGATATGGATTTTCAGAGCTGTGTCTCGCCAGCAACGCAAAGTCAGAAATTCACATTTAGGAAAACTCCAAAATCAAGGGATTTTTAGGTGCTAATTAGGTGTCAAGTTTAAAAATTAGGTGCTCTAAAATTTTCACCGCAACGAACTGTTGAAATTAGCGTTGCTGGCAAAACGTACCGTTATCAACGCAGTGACGATAATAGATATACGATAAATATTAATAGCAAGGAATTAAGTAATAATTAAGTGCTGCAAGTATAGGCAATGACAAGGCGCCCTTAATAAAGACAAAGTCGTAGATGACGTTCATATTCTGGAAATTATCGGGACTGTCAGTTTTTGTTCTTTATCAGTTGTATATTAGAGATAAGATAGGTCAAATCTGTACTAAAACCAAATCAGAACACCCCGATTTCACGTAGTCTTGTCTGCTCTACCCGTAGAGTGTTTTTAAAGCCGTAGGCGTGGAGGGAGAGCAGCCCTCACCCGCTGTAGCAAATCGTAGGCATCTGTGCGAGTCTTAGCGGCTGAGGCTGGATTAATAAGCCGAAGCTGCGGAGGTGAGCATGGGTGCCTGTGATTTGCTACGCAAGGGCGAATGGACTGCACTTCCCGCAGCGCGAAAGCCGTTCTTGAAGAAGTAACTGTGTCAATATTCCTGTGAAAAAGTGTGGTAATGATTTTGCGAAAAAATAATTACACATAAACTATACATTTCCGCAAGGGGGAACTGTAGTGGGCTTCCTCAGAAAGCTTGGCACCTAATTAGCACCTAAAAAGCCCCGAATTTTGGTTTTTTCAAAATGCAAATTCCTGACTTTGCGTTGCTGGGGAGACACAACTGATTTTCAGGCCAGGTCACATATTATACATTAAGCATTAATTCATATAAAAAAAACGGCCAAGTGCGAGTCGGACTCGCGCAACGAGGGTTCTGAACAAATCCGTAGGTATATAAGTTTAAAATTACTAAAAATATTTTTATTATATGATGTAACCAAAAATTTATGCTTTTCGCAATTTTTCCTTTATCTGTGCTATAATTCGTTGCTTCGTACCAAATTTTAAGATTCTGAGTTCACGGGAAGTACCCTGTAGGTTTTGATTCCCTTGCGAGTTTGCGGCATAAACGGCTGTATCTTTTGATTGCGTTGGCTTAGAAGTTTTATTTTTTCACAGCTTCAAGGGACAGTAGCCTTGAGTATTTGATATAAATTTCAGCATGATACCTTTACGCGTTCCTGAGGAAAAGGGTCTTGACAGACAGACAGACGGACAACAAAGTGATTTCCTTTTGAGGTACGGAACCCTAAAAATATGTCAAAATTTTGTTTTTTTTAACACTCAAAATTACGAAACGTTATTTTTAGTATAAAACGCTGTTTCAATGTATAGAGGGTTGAGAAAAGATTCTATGAGCATAGACACAAATAAAATACTATAACACAACAAAATAAACTACAACAAAATAGAGCGTGCACTTTGTTCAGTTTCAAAAACACGTATGTTCCTTCTTCTGTTTTATATAATATGTATTTTATATTTAACACCTTTCACAAATATTCCAGTTGTAAATGTGGATGATGGATAATTCTGAATTATAATCATTTTATATTATTTAGTTTTATACTCCTGTATGAATATTATAGATGTTATCCATTAAAGGTTTAATAATACACATAAATTTCGTTATTTTATCCGACAGCAAAAATGTCTTAATGATGATTTCATAACAGAGATAATAGTATTTAACTGTTTTATATTTTGATACTTTACTTGCATTTTACATACTTAAGAAAAGTATTGATCAGTTAATAAATAAAATGAAAGATAAAGCTTATTTACTCATACTGATTTTGACAAGTTTAAGCAAATCGCTTGCACTATAATACATCTTTGTGATAAAAGTGACACATTATAATCTAAGAGCCAGGGAGCAACAGACTTAAGGTATTTCAATATGCTTCACGTTCTTTTTTTTTTCAGTATACTATACCGGAGGTACATGAAATGGAGACTCTTTCGTTTGACCGGCGGTTGATATAGAGACGCTCAGGTGTGAAAGATGTAAAAAAAATTACCGGAAAAGACTTGAAAGATATAAGTCTGCCGCTTTAACATCTTAAATATTCAATAAAAGTTACTGAAAAATAACATTGGAAGACACTTATGGCGGTTCCAAGGTAATGGCATACAGGTTGACAAATACAATATTTTCTTTACCATTTACGTTATTTCAATAAAGCTGCAACTTAGTATAGTATTAATAATATTATTTGACATATATATTTTGCATGGTAGATATATATTGAGGTCCTATCACCCAGACAGACAACGAACTTCAGTGGCGTCTATAAGCACATAATATAGCGCTCGCTTTAATTCAGTCATTTTTATATTTTTGTTTAGAGAAATAGCCCATGTCTGAGTTTTATTTTACTCATAACAAACTGACATCTGTCCTTGGTAGCGATGAGATATATCAAATATTTTTAGTGTGTATTTGTACTTTGGTAGAGAAGCAAGAAGGAATCCCTGAAATTCCCGATTCCTGGTGTAGGCAGTTCATCAGATGTTATTCCTATAAACATGTGTAGTTTACGTTTTTTTTGTAATAAAGTAAAACAGCGTTCTAAACAATTGGTTTTGTATACTACTACGAAACTGCTGTTCAAACAACTGAATAAGGTCACGGTACTAACATCAACGGCGAGTACATTACTCACCTTTGATTTGCCGACGATATAGTCTTTAATAATTTTTTCATCATCAATTAGGTCATTTTTTACACCTTTCACACCTGAGCTTTCACACCTAATTTAACTGGTGATTGAAAAATAAGAAGTAAAGGAGATGTACTTACATTGCCTATAGGTAATTCACCTCCGTAGAAGAAGGGTGACTGTAGTGGAAAGGTTAACGCTGCATCATGTATCACTGGTTGGTACACTGGGTAAGCTTTACTTGGCTCTAGATTTTGATTAGAGGTGATGAGAGCATTATATACTTTTGGTGTCCGTCCCGGTGTTGGAACTGGCGTAACCGATGCAGTTATGCACAAGAGCTGAAAACAATGAAAGAATCGATTTTAATATTTTTCTGTTTATATTTGTTCTTTTTGTATGTAAATCAAGACCTGAGGAGTCTGTATGTCTGAAGAATAAAATATTTTAGGGAAATGAATTCTGGTTGCATGCACTGGAGCAGCACGGCGAACTAATATATAGAGTACACAGCCCTCCTAGTAGCGAGAGGACTCCTGCAGCCAGCAGCGTGGGACGTATATCGGATGTAAAGTTTCTTTCTGTATGATTAGAACCCATAGTTAAAAGTGCATGCCTGCTGAATCAGTTTTAAAAAGGCCTAGTTATTGGTCTTAGAGTGAATGACAAATTAAGATGCTAATAATGAATGAATTCTAAATGATATTTGAATACGATATTATTATTAAAAGAAAAACTTAAAAATGCAAATAATCATATCAAATTAGCTTAAGTAAATCGTAAAAACTGCTTATTTGCTTGCCTATATAAAAAAGGTAGATTGAAAATTAGTTACTACCTAACTGACAAAATTTAGAAATAATAAAATAAACTTAAAAATAAAAAATGTAAAAAGGCAGTAAAATGTGCGGTCTTATCACTAAAAGCGATTTCTTCCAAACAATCTTTAAATGGCCACGATTGTAAAAGGATAGAAATCTATATAAGTCGGTAAGCGCATTGAGATTACAATTATAATAATACAAAATATTTTTAATAACATAAATAAAAACTAAATATAAAAAGCAATATATTACCATAAACGAAAAAAACCATATATAATGAAATAAAATATTGGAGTCGCTTAAGCTTATTAAGTTGCTCTATGATATTATCAAGATAGCAGACGTCGGCATAGTCGAGTATCGGGAGAAAAAGTGATCATACAAAAGGAAATTTTAGTGGCAGTTGGAAGGAAGATCCGTAATCTGTATCCGTAATCTACTTAAGGCTACTCACTTGCCTGCCGCAGGGACAATCTAGGGTGTAGGAGTGGGGATGGTCCTTAATTGCCTCCTTAATTGTGATGTGTGTAGACAAGCAGGGCCAATTTTCTAAGTCGGCCCTGCGGCAGGGCGGCAGGGGCGCAAGACTTTCCTTGCTCCCTAGATCGGCCCTGCCGCTGTCGCGTGTGTGACTGTTGCGCAATTGGGGCAATTTCAATCAGTTCGTTTGCGTCTTTCATAGCTTGCTACATATATATTAATCTATGGTCTTTCACGCGGAGCACACGTGTGAGTACAAGTTACTATGAACAACAATAAAGAGCGTGAAGTTTGGACACGGGTTATAGAAGTGTACAAAGAGTGGCTTCTTCACCCAGTATCTCCTTTTTGTTTTTTTTTTGTTAGTACCACAGAAAGAACATTATTTGAACGTTGTAACTTACAAGTAACATTACTGGGATTTCTTACTGAGTAGATATCTACCTAACTTATCATAAGGGCCAGTATGGGAAAAAAATATTCCAATAGTATTAGGATTGCTGTAAAATATATAAATAAAATGTCATTAACTAAATAATTAAATAATAATACAAATTTTAGTAATTAAATTTATTAAAACTCAACATTAGATACCTATCCTGGCTATTTGTAGCACTAGTTAAATTATAGTTAGTAAGCACTAGTTAGTTAAGTTATATCACAGAATTAATTGGTTATATTAAATTATAACGAGTGAAGTTAGTCACATTTAATTGTCTTTGATAGCCTAAAAATAGCGTGACAGAGCTTTGCTGCAGCTTATAAGCACTATACGAGTATTATGGTTGTAATTATTAATTAGTTGTTTTATTGATAAATGTGGGTGTCTATGGGCCACAGTGTTCACTTACCATCGGGTGGACTGTGCTCATATGTCACCCTTATTCTATATAAAAGAGCGCCAAGGCTATTTATAACGATTCATTGATATTTCGATATAACTGGCACCATTCTCAAAACGTGCGTCCAGCAAGACGTACACCATGGGCATGCAACTTAGAACATTATTTTATGAACAAAATGATATTTTTTGTGCTACCATCTACATAGACTTATTTTAATCTCACTAGAGGGCACGTTTATATATCTGGGGCCACGGCAGTGCCCCCGCCAAGTCGAGCAAAAAAGCGGCATGGCCGTACCATCCTTTTCTCGAAGCAGTTCAGGCCATTTTCGAAACCCTATAACTTCGTTGTGGATAAAACTAGAAACCTGATTTTTTCCAAGTAGGCATTATATAAACTCGGTATATTTCAAGTTTCATTAAATTTGAACCAGTAGTATACGAATTATAACTAGTCAAAGTTTCTTAATTTTGTCACTCACTGACTGACCGATCATCAAAACTCTAAGGCACTTCTAACAGACATAGAAGCTTCAAATTTAGAATAAAATTAGTGTTTAATATATAAATTAAGGAAAAATTAAAATATTTTGCAAATTTAGTTCAGTTTTCGAGATACACCAACTGCATAAATAACTTTGTAATTCTATATAAATATATAGGATTACAAAGTTACATTTGCAGTGAATGAATCAGTGTACCTATATATGTATAATATAATGGAATAATAGTTGTAGTTAGGTACCTAGATATAACTATTTACAAAAAGAAATGAGATGCCATCAAAAACATAACTTGTAAAAAAAGCCAAGTCTCGCAACTGAGTTCCACCGTAAAAACTTGTGAGACCCATGTAATACCAAGTCGGTTTATTTATTCAGTCCCTACTTAAGGTTCCTTCTGTTTTAAATTATTACGTAATTAGCTAACCTAACAAAATCTTATAGTGACCATATCAATATCAAAAATCTTTTATGTTATAAATAAATAAATTGTCTTGGCAATAAAAATAAAATATTTATATTTACCTATTACTATTTTTGGTTTAATTAGGAATCAATTAATATAACAATTAAATCAGTCCTTTAGAATAATAAGTACATAGGTACATTATTTACATACCTAATCTATTTCGCATATCGCACTCGTGTCGGTCATGAAATGAGTGAGCGAGAGAGCTATAGACACTGGCGGGTGGAATGTCACCGCATGCGGCGCGAATTTCAGAAAATGACTCGCGGTAGTGATGTAAATGATTGCATAAAACCTTTATGAATTTATCGTTTATCGGTATTTTTAAAGAAAATTTTCGATAATTATCGGTGAAATAAATGAACTGATTACCGATAAATTATCGGTTATCCATTATCGGTTTGCATGCGTTACTGTACACCCTAGATTGGCCCTGCGGCAGGCATGTCTGTAGCCGCCTTTAAGGATCCTGAAGGGGCAAAATGTTTGCTACTTACCTCCTGCAATTGTAGAACCTAAGACAAAGATCTGTCCATATAAGTTTTTCTTTCTATGGATTACAATAAACATTAATTACATTTAAGTATTTACGAATAGAAGCACGAAAATTTACAGTATTAAATATTATATGGAAAAAAGAAATGATAGGAGCTCTTACAATAATAATAATATTAAATTACGATATAGCTATGTTTGTTTGAAAATTAAATGTTAACTCGAGCTTTAACATCATGTTTACTTTGTGGTATATTATATTAGTTTATAGATGTTATAAGTGTTCCCTTAGAATTAGGGTGACAACCGAGCATGCAACACATCTGATGGTAAGTGGATACTGCGCCCAATAAACATCTGCATTTATTCTCGATTAAGATTCAAAATGCAGATGGGTTGTCACTCCTGAGACTAAAATAGAATGCCTCATTTCCAGTAAAAAGGGTCTCCGATTTTCTACACTCACCATACGAAACTATTTTATGCTGACATTACGTGAGAGCGTAGTCCTTCTCCGGTCAAGCCCACCCATTCTCGCTATACGCTATAACTATAATATATCTGCAACATGGCTCTACCACGTACAAATCGTTATTTGCTATTATTGTTATATCCATAAATATTTGGTTAAAAATATTTGGTTTGGCTTAAATATTTGTTACTGATAATATATAAAAAAAATATATAAAATATTTATATAAATTATCTAAATTTATATATTTTTAACATATATTTTTTATATAACATGTATATACATTTTATATAAAAAATATAAGTTAAAAATAAAAATAAATCTAATTATGCGTAACAAATATTCAACATCACAGTTTCTTGGTCTTCTTTTTTTTGGTAGTCTATAACTATTCCTAATACAAATTGATAATTTTCTTGGCTTTGCTACAGAAACCTGTTTTATGAACTGTAATAAGTGTTTGTGTAACGAGACTAATTACGATTTACCTTGAGTATACAAGTACAAGTAGGTATCTTGAGTGACACATTCGCTTCGAAAACGGTGGATGAAATTTTATTAACATATTACGTAGGTACAAGAAACGAAGAATATTCGTTGTAAAAAGAAAGAATAGTGTTGAAGAATATTTTTATTAATTTTTATAATTAATCAAACAATAGTATTCCAAATTTAGGTAATCGAGTTTCGAACAAAAAATGCATGAATTGAAATGAAATTAATGAAATTAAAGGAGCGAGTTAAAAGTGCGTGTAAATTAAGAAATCATATTTTTTTTAAATGGTGATACGTGACAGTGTATGTTGTGGCCCATAGACATCTATACCCATCCTCTGTTAATTCAGAATGCAGATATCTTGTCACCTCTTAGAACTGAAATGGAATGTTCCGTTAGGAGTGAAAACGTTCTGCAATTCTTGCCACCATACGAAGCACAACAGCAATACTGCGCCCCCTTTTCTACCCTAAAGAGGGTCGCTTCCGATGCAGAAAGGCCATACAGGCCAATGCCAGTCCCAGGTGGTGTTTAGTGGGTAAGCACTTAGGTTTCACAGTGAGTCCCACATAACCACGCAGCCGGCTGTCGTGGTATGCTTATAGCATTCACCTCCTCCCACCCCCGCTTCCCGGAGGGTAGCCCTTTTCATTGTTTTTGGGCGCAAAAAAAAAAATCAACAGCAACTCTATATAGTTTTATCTTACGTGTTAGAATCATGTCGCAGCATGATTCTACCTATATTATTGTTGTAATATGAATGAGTCGGCTTAACGGGGAATATCAGTGCAAAACAGCAACTTAATGCTGCTGTGTTAGGTAAAACGAGGCATTCCATCTTAGTCCTCAAGATGGCAACGCATCTGCATTTTGATTCTTAATCGAGGAGTATATTCGATATCTATGATCGGGGATAGATCTAGGTGCGTATGGGCCACATAATTCGCTTAATGGTGGACTGTATGTCATCATTATTCTATGTCTATATCGTTTGTCATCATTATTCTATAAAAAAATACTTACTCCCATATTAAACAAAAAAGTGTTTGTACATCTATTAATTAAAATTTATTTCTTAAAAGCAGCTTCTAGAATTTCACAAAAAAAAAACAAGCAGTCGAATTGGAAACGAGTCAAGTCGGCTAAAAATGTACATTAAACATTGACCATACCAACCAACCAATCAAATCTTCCAATTTGAACCATGTTGTGGTTATAAAAAAATTGAATTCGTAAACCAATATGACTAATATTAACATTATACTCTCTCATTGTCCGAAACGTTCTTTACAACTCGTAGTACGTTGTATTTTATACCAGTACATCACATTTATTCAAGCTCCTAAAAAATTATTGATCGGCAGAATCCACCCGTCCGTTAAATGCAATGTAATTATGTTTTTTTCTGCCAGCCGTCACGGTGTGTTTTTATAAATTTTTCAAATATATGTTTTTTAAATGTTTTGCATCCAAAACCTACCACAACTGTATTTATATGCCTGCTTGGTAATATTAGGTTATACTTTAATATAAGAACATATTCAAAATGGAGCAAACCGATTAAAGGTAAACAAGAATCATCAGAATTTCAGAGGTACGTGTAAATATCTAAAAAGTCATTATTAACAAAATCAGATTCACTGTGTTCGAAACATTTAATAACAAGATTAATCTATAATATAAAAATGAATCGCTGAATGTGTTGCTAAGCGCAAATCTCGAGAGCAGCTGAACCGATTTCGTTAATTCTTTTTTTATAATATTTCTTGAAGTAGGAAGATGGTTCTTACGGAGAGAAAAATTTAAAAAATTGCCTGAAAAAGTCTAAAAACAACACTTTTCTATATTCCCATACAAAAGATTCGTAATAATACTTAAAAGCCAATTTGAACTTTAATACCGTACCATAAAGTTTAAGTGTTAGTGGAGGGGTTCCGGGAAGGCAAAACAATTGAGTGACGTAAATATTTGTCAATATTTATACGATGGAAACTTAATTCAGAATAAGTAAAAATAAAATGAAATATAATAAGTAGGTATCATAATAGGAAATCAGAAATTGTAATTTTCATCGTGATTTTTTAGTGACTCTTAAAAGAATTTTAAGTGTTTAAAAATTTTAATTTTTTGACATAATGTAATTGTTGACTTATCAACTTTCTTTTTCTTTTTTAATCTTACTAGCTAACCAGGTGTCCGTAATAGCAGAAAGAGTATTAAAAAAATATTAAAGAATCGACTGTTAGGCGGTACGAAGTTCGCCGGGTCAGCTAGTTATCAATGAAAATCCACTATTAAGCTTTAATAGCATAACCTCGTCACTCGTATAATATGAAATAATAAATAGGTATTTGCAACCAACAAATGTAGGTTGAGACTATAATTATATATTGAATATATATATATATATATATATATATATATATATATATATATATATATATATGTGTGTATATTTAATATGTTTTTCTTTCAATAAGTATTATTTAAAATCTATATTAAATAAAAAAGTTTCTGTTTCTTACTTCGTGTTCAATTCGTATTTTGAGCATTTAGTTGTGCAATCACCATTTATCATACGCATTGGGCAAAATTATTCCTACTTTAGACATGCAGGTGATTTCGGACAATATTGGGAAAACAGGAAAAGGAAAATCCTCAGGCCGATACACTATCGCCATCTTGTTGGACAAGATATTGTGCAATACTGAGATACAAAACAATCACTAAGGGCTTAAAACTGCTTGGAAAAATATCTAACATGAGTTATATGGATACAAACAGACTATTAGAACTATTACTTCGAATATATTATATTGGTTCATGTATATATAATAAAATAAGAAAGAAAAATACTCAGGCTGAAATGGGACAACCTGGGATAGGGTTTTCTGGAAGACATTAATTAGTTAATTAGTAGCAAATTACTGAGGACTTAAAACTGTTGGAAAGAATATTTAGTATCAGTTATATAAAATATTATATACAGATCATTAGCGCTATCACTTAGAGGATAAAAATGGAATTAATTACTCAGACCATTAGAGCTATCACTTAGGAGGGCAGACGTTAGGGGAATGACATTAAGATGGGCTAGGTCTCGAAAGACATGATTGCAGGCTTTAAACCATTAGAATTATCATTTAGAGGATGGACATGGTTAACTACTCAGACCTTAGAGCTATCACTTAAAGGTTAGACAGGTTTGAATTAACATATAAAGCGATACCACTTGAAGGAAGATATAAAGATGGGCTAGGACTCAGAAGAATTAACTGCAGGTTGTAAATCATTAGAGCTATCACCTAGAGGATAGACATGGTTAACTATTCAGACCTTAGAGCTGTCACTTAGATGATAGACATGGTTAATTATTCAGACCTTAGAGCTATCACTTAGTGGTTAAACAGGTTTTAAATTGACATACAAAGTGCTATCACTAGAAAGTAAAACATTGTGCTGTACTGGGTTTTAGAATAAAAATAAATAAGGGTATAATTTTTATTACAAAGGAGACTAATATTTTGAGTACAATATAAAGAAAAAGTTGTGACAAAATTACAGATGTAAAAATATCAGAAAGTCTTAGGCGGGTTCGTCAAAAAGAAGTCCAACAATTGTCAACATAAGAGAACCCCCCATATGATCACTGGGCATCAAGATAGCAAATTATATTCCAACATACCAAA